CACACACACACACACAGCTGTATAGGGTGGGGTAACACATGACAACATACTGTATTTGCAGCCGAGCAGGAACACGTGGTTATCACCTCATAAACTGCCCCTTTCTCCACCCTTCCCCCTACAGCTCTGTACGTACTTTACAACACACACACAAGCAGAGTCAGCACTCTTGACGTTGTCCAGCATGCCAACACACACATCCACCTGGAAGGAAGCAGGGGAAGCCACGCAGGATCCCAATGTCCTGGTTAACTCCAAATGAATTAAAAAGAGTTCAATACCTCTCTTGTCAGCTCTTGAGACAGACAACAACACAACACGCACAGACACACACACAGACACACACACAGACACACCAGTTTAACTTGACAATATAATTGTTGATACTGTGCCTTGTTTCTCTTTAGCAATAAACAAATTTAATGATTTATGATTTTTAGCATCTCTGCTATTCTAAAATGTGTGTGTGATGCGTTACTAGCAGATAATTAACATCTATTATAAACATAAACAAGTCTAATCAAAAGCCTCTGCATTTTTGCAGATTATCTTTATCATGTTGAACTTTTCAACAATAGCAACAAAACAAAAACACAAGATGCTCACAGCAACGTTTGACCAGAGCAGACAGATACAACTTACATCGAATAACACAAAAAGCTTCACAAAGAACAAGGGAACTAGAAATGTACAAAAAGATTTGTGGGTTTAGCTACACAAGTTGAGAAATGTAAATACCAATTATCATACACTAGTATCACAGCTCATAAAACTACCACTTATGCACTTGTAATATATTTTTCTTGTACATGAGCCTCAGTTAACAAGGAAAAAGAAAAACTGGCCGAGTTTCCGAAGTAATTCAGGTAAACTGACAAAGCATCACCTTAATACACACAGAAACTTTGGTTACAAATAAACTTCAGAGCGGGCGAAAAATGTAAACACATCGGCTGGATGACTCGCCACAAGTATGCACACATAGTCACCAACCCACGCACCCACCTGCACACACACACACACACACACAACCCACACACAGGATTATCTACGGCATGTGTGTGTGTCTGGAGGTCGTCGCTGTGGCCCGAGGAAGCAGCTGCTGCACGGCCAGGCCGTCCGCGGAGAGAGAAGAATGCGATCTGACCTCTTTTCTTGGACAGAGCTCCGAGCCTCGCCCTCCCCCCGTCAGCCACAGGACGACCATTTCTACTAATCCTGTGGTCGTTTTACTGAAGCCGCCAGACAGGTGGACCCCTCTACCCTCGGTGTGGGTCGTCTGAACTCTCACCTGGGATTCCCCCTCGGGACAGACCGACTACGGAGTCTGTCCTTGGCACATATATATATATATAAACAAAGGCAGAGCTGTCAAATGTTAACAGACAGACTGAAACAAAAGGACACACAGGAGGCCACTTTGTGTAACACACCAAAACATTGCCATGGTTTTGGATCTCTTCACTCAAATCATCTTCAGCCGCAGCACATGGACACAGAGCGGGGCAATACACCCGAAATTTACAAATACTTTTGACATTTGAAGTCACAAGGCCGGCCTGATTTTTGCTCATGTCAACAACCAGACGTCACCCAGTCACATGGTTCCTGTTAGTCTTTTCTTCATTCAAAACAGATGCAACATGATGGATGATAAAGCAGCAGTTTAGCACATTTCTATGGAATAAAAGCTTTTAGAAGAGCATATAGTGCAGACCAGTGGTTGCCAGAATTTACATGTAAAATCCTTTTAATACATTATTTGTTATTATCAAGGTAAATATGTCAAATTTGTGTGATTGAGATTTTCATACACATAGCCCAGAACTTACATGGACATGCAATAAAATAAAATCTACAAAATATTCTGTGCAGTGAAAAGTCTAAACTTTTAAAAAAATATATGTTTTAGGAATGTCTGACCATTTTTATATTTTCTGGCCTTGTCCTTTCATTTTCTCATATTCATCCAACAGGTTAATAAAGAGAAAATATTTTGAAGAGAAGTTGCTCTTTGTTAGATTATACTTGGGGAAAAAACCCAAAATAAATGTATGCCACAGGATTAATCAAGTAATATTTTAAATACTAAAATAGCTAAAAAAAACTGACTTTAGATATGAATAATACATGAAGTGTTATGGTGCCACTTATTTAATATAAAATGATCAAAGTTTGTAGTTTGTCTGGTGAATTTAAATGCCACAAAGTTTGTTTTTCCCAACTATATTTTAACAGAAGACAAACTAATAAACTCTCTATTGAACTCAAGCTTTCTTTGCCTCGCACGCATGCACGCACACGCGCACACACTCTCGCCTGACAGCCTTTCTCGTCATGGGACTGATCAAAGCGCTGCCTCCCTACTTGCGGCCATGCGTTTACCTGCCCACTGCCAGCCCCAGGAAAACAAAAACCCTCCAACGCAGCAACTTTAAAAGCCTCAGCAGTGCAATAACTGCATTATTCAACTCTGAACGGGCACTTGAGCAAAGACAACACCAGCCAAGACCTCATTAATTCATGTCCATCCCAGGGAAAAAAAAGCTTTGATCACCATTCAAAACAATCACAGCGTTGGTGCGGGTAACAAAACATACAGCACGATTTATTATGCTAGGCACTCTTCTTCCCTCGACGGCTAAAACAAGTCACGAAAATGTTCCTTTAATGTAACCCTTGAACAAATAAGACACTTACTATGTGGAGAAGCTTCAGGACATCCACAAACCTGATAAAAAACAGCAGAAAGACATCAGTTAAAAGCATAAAACACGGCACATTTGGGCCTTTTGAGCACAGATTCTATTAAAGGGGTGATATAAAAACTCACACTTTCTCTGAGCTCATAATCTCCTGGGCGATGTGCACCACCTTCTTCCTCTTCATCTCATCCTCTTGCTGGAAAGAAAAGAAGCACAAACAGTTAAGCAACGCTACAGAAACGCAAACAGCGACCGACTTCACCAAAAAAAACACGGCACTGCTCGCTCACAGGCTCACTGCAGATCACCATGATGATCACTGGATCCTGTTTCGCTCGGTAAAACCATGAGGACTGAGTTTACAGCCCTCCAAACAACAGCTCAATCAGTCCTGAAAGTAGAGCACCGACCTTTCCCTTCTCCCTTCTCCCTCTCCTCTCCCTGTGTCTTTCTGATGGTGTGTGTTGTTGAATGATAATGGGGCGGTCTCTCAATGACTTAATTTGGACAGCGGCCTTGGCCCCCCTGTTTGACTGAAATGTCCTACTGGTCCCATTGGAGCCTGTATCTATGATTCCCCGGAGCTTTGAGTGGCGTCGGACGCAGGCGCTGACAGTATCATGGAGAGGGTCACACAGGACGAAGAAAGAAAAAAAAAATATATCTTTCAGTCATTGAGAGAGCTATTCCTGAACCTGTAACCCTTCTGTGTTTGCTCACCATCCCCCCCCTTTCAACACACACACACACTCACAATCTCCAGTGGCTGCAGTGACAGTTTAGTCACCGGCAGCGATATGAGATGTCCATTGTAATCTGTAATCTGTAAGCGCTCTTGACAGTTTTACATGTTGGCATCATGTCTGAAAAGAGCTCGGAGTCATTGTTCTGTAAAATCTGCCCCCTCTTCCTTACGACCAAGTAATGTTTGTGTATTATTTTCCACATGCCTAAAGTGTGAATAAGAGCGTACATTTTAAATAAAAACCACAATTTTGCATTGCCAGGCAGACTAGGAAGTGATACTTTTCTTTAAAAGGATCATTTTGCATTAATTAGATTACACTTTGGAAAATTGGACGCTGAAATCTGAAGACTGCTCTCCCATCGGGTAAAATAAGTATGTAAAAAAACTGGATGTGTGACGTCTGAACAGAGACAACATGAGTGAAAACTAAATGACTTAAAACAGATCTAAAAGAGGCTAGAAGAAACGCTGATTGGGGGTGACACTTTGATCTGCTTAATAATTTAACTTATTTAAATCAAAACAAACAAATATGAAATATATTCTGGCGGATATATGATGATATGATTTAGAGCAGAAATGACTTTCTGATTAACCAATTAACTTAAAGAAAATCAATCTGCAGCTGAAATCTGATAATTAATTAATCGCTGGAGTCACTTTCCAACCAAAAAACACCAAATATTAACTAGCACCAGTTTCTTAAATGTGAGTATTTTCTGCTTTTTAAGTATCATTTGAACTGTTGTTCAGAGAAAACCAATGTAAAGACGTCATCTGGGCTCTAAAATTGCTTTTTTTCCTGATATAATTCACTTATATAAGGGCAAAAGTGTGTTTTTCATATATTTGAGCCATAATAGGCTATTTTTGTTTAAATGACTGTCCAGTTTTGAAAGTTGAAGCTTTGTTGAATTTCCTAAAACATTTTAGGTGCAAGCTGCTGTAGAAAGAATAAAAGAACAAGGATGTTTAACCAGATGTATGATGAATGATAAATAAACTCCACTAGTGGAAACTGTGGATACTGGATCCTGTCATCGGGTATTAGCAAACGTTTCAGTTTCAATTTTACACAAACCTAATTAGTTTATAACTTTACAGTCATTGCTGTATTATGAATTACCCTTTACTGTTTATAGCGAGGTGATTACCTGTCGGTCTGCCTCGTCCAGGTTCTCCTTGCTGGAGGTGGAGCTGTTGTCCTCTTCGTCTGAACTGTGGATCTCCTCTTCCTCAGAGTGGATGTCCTGCCTCAGCCAGCCACTGCTAACCCAAAACACAGACGCCACACATTCAAACGCAACAAACGGACACAGAGCGACAGTCAGGGAAGGATTTAATGATACATGAAGCAGGATTTGGGTTTGTTTAAGAGGGAATGTTAAAATGTGTGAATGTGAAGTGTGAATTAGAAGCCGGGCAGGGCTGGAGAGGAGTACGTGTTCAGAGAAACCCTCCCTGGATAAACACAGATTAAATACAGTCACATGTAGGTTTTGTGCAAGACTTGATAAATTGAACAACGCGCTTAATCTTTACTTATATGAGTCAGCACAAGGCTCATTCAGAGTTCCTGTACAATGGAAAATATTGATCGAGTGGAACTGACTGCTCAATAAAGGACTTTAGTCCAGTAAAACACAGATTGAGTGCTTCAATATAAAAAAAAGGTAAAAAAACAAATAGATGAAAGCATCAAAAACAACCCTAATAAAAGAAAATCCTAATTTGATGTGTGCTAGTTAATTTCTATTTAAAGAAGTTGAAAACAAAAAGGCAATGAATCAATGGACAGAGACAGTTTTTCCTCTATTTTTTTTACATTTAATTGTCTAAATGCTCAATGAGCACATTAATCGCAGCCCAAATTTAAAATAAAGTACTTTTTTATTATTATCACTACTATTGCATTATTAATTGAGTTGATTATTATCACAGACAGGGTTTCATACTGAGGTCTATATGATGGAATTGGCACAATATGTTGTAGTCATTAGGTTTTTGTTTTAAATGTATGAAGAGTTTTATCTGATGAAACTTTAAAAGAAGGGTGATCACTGCATTAAGCATCAATTTGATTAAATATATGTAAACATCTGAGGTATTTTTAACTTATTATCATGATTTCTGTAGGCCTACGTCCACTTTACCTTTTTTTTTTTTGGTTGCCTATTGTGCTAAAAGAGATTAAAACCTGTATTTTCTGTGTGCTGCGTCTTTATCAGCCGTGCTGCTGGCAGGAAGACAACGCGTTGGCTCAGCTCTACCCACAAGAAGTGTTGTCTGCCAGGTTAGTACAAGCAGCAACATGTGTTTGTGTGCCACTAATGTTTTGATCTGTCTCCCGTCATCTGTTCTGTGGAATTAAGCTGTCTGATTTCAAAAGACTGATGAACTAAGACTTCAGCACAGGAGGTATTAATGTGTTTTGATTTTTCCTCTTCGGGGCCTGTCCTGTCGTTCCTCTCTTCTTTCCTGCACAAAGTCTCTGTGTAGCTTGTAAAGCTTGTACCTTGGCGAAAAAGGGTGATGGCTCAGAATAAATATTAGATAGGAAAAACTGTGGGACTCCAGAAAATTCTCACATTTCCTTTCACTCCCATCAGCAATAGCCCACTCTCTCCGCTTCCTTGTTTTTCTTAAGTGGCTCCCGACAGTTTCTTTTACCCCCCCAATCGCAATACACACTTATTCTTCCTCAACTTCTTTCTCCCGTACGCTTTTCTCTATAGTGGAGCATTCGAACACACTGGGTCAGGCACAGAGCGCCACTTGTTTACAGCCTGAGGCGACTTACATAAACTTAACAGGCTCAGATGCCTGGGAAACACTACAGATTCACTCCCTCGCTCTTTTTCCTTTCTTAACACACAACCACCCTGCCAACCACCCTGCATACCAGACAGACTTAAGAAGCAGGGTACATCTTAATTGTTTTACCGGCTGATTTCACAGTAGCGTACCTCATCCTCACCTCAAGTGGTCTTGACTTCATTGCTTGTAGTGCCGCGATCCGACGGAGGAAACAGGAACCACGCTGTTTATCATTGGGAGCAGGTCCTCGTCACAACAGTCTGGGGTCTATTATCATCAACGGTGACCCACGAGATCTTAATAGTTTTAATTTGCTGACATTTAAGTGATCAGTCAACTGTTTAGGTAATTTACTGAGCAAAATGCCGAAGATATTCACGTTTTAGACTCTCAAAGCTGCACTAATCTGTATTTTTAGATCAACCTCTCTGTGGAGTTTTAGAGCCTTTCAGCTCATTGTTTCGGTTCAGTCTCCCCGCTCTCATCGGTGTTGTTTTCAGCAGGAGCAGGCCGCCGTTTTAACTGAAAATGCTCTGATAAACCGACTGTACAACTACCTGCCCAGCACTAAACAGCAGATAGAGAAAGTTAGTAAACACAGTGGAGCACTGAGCGGCTAAAGAGTCTGATATTTGCCTCAGGAGTCGGTGGAGAGCGAAACAGAGCTTTGGGTAGAGTGAATATTGGACTTACATGTTGCTTGGACGTCGCTTTGGTGTTTTATCTTCACTATAAAGAGGTGATTTATAGTCCGATTGGATAAATAAATAATGAATACATTTATGCGTACTTTGGTTTGCAGCTGGAGCCAAGCAAAAACTGGATCTTTAACGTCACGGAAGAGCAAGTTAAAAACCTGTTTATTGCTGGAGGAGGTTTCATGGTAACACAACTCATGTGATTGTTGATTTTCCCTCAATAAATCACTTCATTTTCTTTAATAAGATGTTACAATTTATGCATTTATACCTTATTGTGTGTTCAAAGTCCTTTACAGTGTGTCCCTATTTTTATCTGGGTTCAATCTTTCGCTACGCCATTCTTTCCTTGAATGTATAGGCCTCTGAAAACCGCTGCCCTCCGATAGGCCTGACGTGGAATTGTGATTTGTTTGATCATTTACCGATGAGAACGAAACTCACTTCTTACAGAGACACGGAGGAGAGAAAAAAAACAAGTGATGAGGTTAGGAAGAGGCTAAACACAGTGCGAGGGCGGGCAGGCAGAAGAGGAGGAGGCCGGTGGTTGCTGGAGGTTTATTTTCCCTGTTCTAGAGAGCTGTGTGGCGTTTCTGCGATTCTCAGACATTTCCTGCCCTGGCCACTGAAAATAACCCACAGGAAAACAGGCCGACCTGCAGCAACATCAATGCTCTATTCAAATTCACTGCCACTGGCTCAAAGGCTGACTTTCACACTCTTGTAAATATAAACCATGTCACCTGTGCAACCTGTCGCACACAGCGGTTCCCACACTGAAACTACGGGTCGTCTGAAATTACAGGGTAGCAGCGGGAGTTCGACTCTCTTCTTGCTTTCTCTTTTCCCCTCGCAAACACAAACACAAGCAGCCATTGTTCGTAGAATAAAATGTCTCTTTTCTTGAACTTCAGTAGGATATTTCATTGATAATCGCTGCCGAACAGAGACGGTTTCAGTCTTTTCTGTCTGATTAAAGATGATAAATCTTCATATTCGACACCTGTTACTGCTGGATCAACGACGGTTAAAGACAAGTGTTGAAACAAGTGTTAGTTAGTCGATTGGAAAGTCATTTAGGAAGGAAAAATGCCAGGACAAATATGAAAATTCGCTGTTTTATGTCACTGTGAATGGAATACTTTGTGGTTTGACAGAAAGACATTTCATAAACTTAACAACTAATCGATAAATTGTTAAGTTAAGGCACAGTTCAGGTTTGAATTCGGCTTTCGACCTTTGTTGCTACCTACCTCTCTTTTCCCTAAACTCTTGTAATGTCCCTAATAAAGGCATAAAACAACAAAAAAAGTCTTAACAAAAGATGTTTAAGCATGCAAATACCGTACCCCTCATACTCATGGTCCGGGTATCTGTGATAGGGATCCTGCACTTCATAGATGTCTGAATCGGCCGCATCGGGGTCATGTGGCCAGCCCAGCCTCGCACTGTGAAACGGTAGGTTCATGTACTCGGGGATTTCCTCATACAGAGGAACGTTCTCATACTCTGCTGATTCCTCTCCGCCTTCTCCGCAAAAATCCACCTCCCCCATGCAGCTCTTGGGCCGCTCCAGGCTTTTCTCGCCCCGGTTCGACTCCACGCTGGTACAGTCCAGAGACTGGCCTCCTTTCACCAACAGCTTCGGGAGCATCTTCACGGACAGCCTGAGCTCCAGCAGCTTCCGGAAAGAGAGGCTCCTCTTTTGGGAGTCGGCCCGGGTCGCCAGGTCAGCTGCGGAGAAGGACTGCGCCCTCTGCTTTCCCCCCAAAGCCGGCGCTCTGCTCTTTGGCGGCACGCTGCTCCTGGTGGGCATCTGCCGGCTGAAGAAGGTCACGCAGGGTCGAGTGAAGCGCCAGGCTGTTTTCTCCTGAGGAGGCGCCGGCAGCTCCCTCATGGGGGTGTTGGCATGTGGAGGTGCGGGAGGGCAGGCGGAGGGAGGAGGGGGTGCTGGCAGGCTGTGCCTCTGAGGTTTTCTGGGCGGCGCCCTCGGCGACCGCCGGTCCTCGGCCGAAAACGCCTTCCTGGCGTTGGCCAGCGGAGGGTGACAGCCCAGTTTGATCTGCTTCGGGAGGCTGTGAGTGATCGGGTAGCGCTCAAAGTCGCCGTACCCGTCCTCTTCATCCTCCTCCATCCGGTGACCCTCGCCCTCGTTTTTGTGGCTCATTGATTCAGGTGGCGAGAGGAGGACTAAGGAGTGGGAGGTGTTTTTGTTTAGAGAAGGGGGCACGTGGCGGACTGTTCTGTGAAGTCGAGGAGAGAGGGAGGTCTGTCGAGGAGGCGGGACGGGTGCGTCGGTGTCCTCGTCTTCCAAACCTGAGTCTTTTTGGGGTAACGGGTCGTCACACGTGTCCTGTTTGAGCTCCTCGCCCTCCTCTCGCATCTCAAGCCCCCGTTTTTGCTCCTCCGTCAGCTGATCCTGGGCACTGCCCTCCACGCCGTCCTGCCTCACCAGGGCCGGCTTTTTAAGTTTCCGCGGGTGGGGGACCGGGAGAGGCTTGCTGGGGGCAGCCGGGACCTGCAGGTCAGGGTGTAACCGGGTAGGAGGCTCGCTGCGCTCTACCTGAACGGTGCTTGAGGAGAAAATGATGCTGCCTGCAACATCACAGGCTGAGTCTGTAAAATCTGGGTTTCCGGTCTCTACATCCGCTTTTGAAACCTTGGGCTCAGCAACAGCACTCTCCTGATGTTTTACCGTCTCTGAAGCGTCCCCCTTCCGCTCCTCGGTCCTCCGTGCCTCTTTGTTAACCGACACCCGATCCAGGTGTCTCTGTCTTTGAGGTTTATCCCTGGGCTTTCTACTCATCCCTCCACCTTCGTTCTTCGGTACAGCTACTCCCTCCTCCTCCAATCCTCCCGTAGAAATCCCATTCTGCAACCGCTCCTGAGGAAAATTTCCATTTTCCAGATGATGGGAACAGTCCTCGAGCACACAGGAGCAGGTGGGAATGATGTAGTCCGATTCACGCTCGTTACTCTCCGATAAAATCCCATTTTTGGAGTTGAGAAGCGAGAGGCTGTCGCCTAAAGCCTCCTCCTGCTCCTGGGAGAGGGTGAGGAGGGGTTCGGTGGGTTTGGGTGGCGGGGGGGACAAAGGCGGCGGAGACGAGGCCGTGGATCTGCGGATGCACGGTTTAGGGGCGACAGCCGGTTTTGTCCTCTTGAGAGTAGCAGGGGAAGGTTGGGAGATGACCGAAGACTGGGGGAGGAGGCCGGGTTTGGGGGCGACGGGCGGGGGAGAGGGTTTGGTGGTGACAGGGAGTTTAGGTTTGGGAGCTAGTGGAGGCTTCTTCACACCTGCACGTGAAGAAAGAGGAGGAGATTTACTGAAAAGTCCAAAAATCATTTACTCACACTTCCTCACCGGTGAATCACCACCAAGCAAGCGTAGACAGCTGCAAGCGAAGGTCGAGAGGTCACTCTTAGGGTCAGAGGAGAGGAACTGAGGGAGTGATGTGTGAAATAAAACCTTATTTTCACCATAAAGCAGCTGATTATGCGAGAGAAATAAAGCACTGAAGGGCTCACGGCTCACTTGTGGCAGCAATTACAAAGTGAAAACTGGATTATTTCATTCAAATTCACATTTTAATTTGTGAGCCTCCGGCCTGTTCTCTGCGTGTTTGGCGTGCCTTTACTTCTCGTCTGAATTAAATTGTAAAAACTACACCAACATAATACCTTTATTTATGTTGTATCCTCTTATAGACTTTCTGCCTCAATTGTGTTCTTATATTGACAAAAGGCATGGTTTAAAAGACTATTTATGTTGCGTCTCAGCCATATATTTACTATATTTACTATAAATGATACCAATACTATACTATTTAAACTTGGTGAGGCAATCAGGGCCTTTTTTTTAACCTTTTTTCTCTCGTACAGCGTTTATATTATATTATATTATGTTATTTTTTCATACTCTTGCTGTTTTTATACTTGTTTTTCTCTCTGTCCACTTTGCTGCTGTAATACTGGAATTTCCTCATTAAAAGGAATACCTTATCTTATTAAATAAAGCTTAAATTAAAAAAAAAAAACAGCTGTGAATTGAGATTGTAGGCCATATTTTCCGCTCTACTGGCTGAAAGTCTTGGCTGGCCGACACCACGAGAAGTGGAGTCATCGTGCGGATGTTTCCGAAAAGGCCAACGACCAAAAAACCGCTTTGCCTCTGATCCATGCTGCTCTGCCTTCTGCAGACGGAGCCTCGCCGAACCCCGTTCAAAAATCACCGACTTTAAAGTCACAGGGCTTTCTTGCAACAACACTTAAGATAGTGGGATAGTAATAGTAGTGTTTTTACTAACCACCGAGAGCCGCTTTTTAATTCGGCACACACTTTTTAACAAGAAAAGTTCAAACTTTAAGAACTGGTTCACCCAGATTTAAATGAAAACTCACCACCGATGGCGGCGATGAGCAGAGAGAATCACATCTAAAACTTTTATCCTGTTGTTGCTTGGTTGTTTATCTACAAGCCGAATTTGCCAACACACACTAACAGTGCCATTAGAGTCAATAAACTATGTCCTCAGAGGTATACGCCTGCTAAATAAGCGAAGCGACATTAATTTGCCGGTTTTTTAAACGGAATCTGGCCTGTTTTCGCTGTACAAGGCAACGCCAGGTATCTGGACTTAAAACCCGCTCATGTCGTGGAAAGATCATTAAAGATCATTAAAAAAAACAAACACGAAGTCACAGTTTATAATCCAATGCTGAGTGCTTTAAACGAGAGGTTAATAACGTTTGCAGCCGACTTGTTGCATCCAACAGCAGGACAGATGTTTTAAGACAAAGGATTTAACCCCCTCCAGCTGCAACAGTAGCTGTAATATCACACCAAAGGAAAAAAAGGGGAGTTATGATGGCGTTTTATTTAGAAAAGCACTCAAATTGAAAGCCTGTCCTCTTTTATACATCTCTCCCTGAAAGCTGTTATTAAGAAAAACTGTAATTATCTAACTGGGGCTGCGTAAAAATAGAGTGGATGCTACTGTCCGCTATAACATTTAAATTGCATTGTTTCCCCTGTTTGCTGCGAATAATAGTGTTTGTTTTCTTTTTAAAGTTTTAGCTGACAACAATAGGCGCTTGTTTGTTTTGTTTTTTGTTTTTTTTTCCCCCAGCTAAGTTAAGTTGAATCCCCCACGAAACAAACCTGTGCTCATGACTCCCGACTTGCTCCTTTCTCCATGAAGTAAATATACTTTCAATGGAATTGCGAGAAAATCTGCGTTTTGTCCTCCTTCGACACCATTGTCAGTTTAAACAAGCCTCCGGGGAGAAAAGGTGCAGATAAATCGCTGTTAGCTCCTTATCTTGTCCGCGGGTGAACGGATAAAGTCTTTACGCCGTTACTTTTTCCATTTTTCCCGAAGTTTTCAGCCACCACGGTGCGTTTTTCCCCCCCAAACAGCGTGAAGCGCCACGCAACATGAGCGACCCACTTCCGTTTCGGGGCGCTACTAAAAAATATAAACTCTACTGTCCAAGAACACGCGGCCAGGCCAGTTGTGGAATTAAACCGCAAAGCAAGTGCCGTGAGCACACAGATGGATACGTTTTATTTTAGAGTGGCATAAAATGTTAGTTGCTTTCCTTTTTTTTTTTTTTTAAAGGACTTTCCCAATTCACAGACACAGATTTAAGGGTGTATGTTTTATTTGGAAGCAGTTTCCGGTGGCTTTGGCGGTTTTTTTTCCGCAACTTTACACTCGATTTCCTCTCCGAGCGTTCCAAACGGCTGCGTCAACGCCTCTCGTGCCACGCGAGGCGCTCTACTCGGCACGAGCCGGTCGGAGAGGCGAAGTGGCATGACGGAAATGTTAGACATTAACGCCAAAAAAAAAAAAAAAAAAAAAAAAAAAAACCCGGCTAACTACCAACTTCTCAGCGGCCGTTCCCGACTAAAAACCGTCGCCTACAACTTCACAATGCAAAACGGGCTGCGTGCAGATGGCGGAGAGCAATGACTGAGGAGTTCGACGAAGATGTGGTATTTGAGGTTTGTGCTGCCGCCATTGTTTCTCTACCGAAACCACCTAACCGATGCTTTGTCATACCGTCCGAGTCTCCCGAAAACGCTAGCGTCGTATAAAGCCCAACAAATCCACATATTTGGCCGCCTGTCCGCCAAGGAGCTTTGCTGGTCATGAGAGGGGCTGAGCTGGGTTTAGTGTGCGTTGTTCGGGTTGTGTTTCTGCATTATTACACTGGTAGTTAAGGGTGGGGATGTGCAGATCCAATGCGTCGGTTCTGGACGTAGCTATTGCATCTGGGTGACAATGCATGTGAGTAGGTTTTAATTGTGTATATGACTTGCGTGTGTGCATGCAGCGGTATGCATGTTGGATAACATTAAACTGCTCCTGTGCAGCTGCAAAAGAGGCTGCAGAAGTAATGTTTTCCGAGCAGCTGGTGGAGGAGGAAGAACTGGGTCAGGCATCTTTTTTTTTGCACAAATTATACCCTCTCTGCTTATTTCACGGCTGATTTTAAGTTGTGAGCTTTCTTTATCTTTGTCCAGGGGGGAGGAAATAGCACCGTCTGTGTTTGTACCTCTCGGGGAAAGACAGGGTTATTTATATGATGGATTGTGCTGTTCAGTCCAGTTTCCATGCAGGAGAAAAGGGGATTTATTTTGCATTAAAAGGCTCAAAACGCAGCCCCTGTTATCTCTTGTGGAGTGTCTGTTGATTTGCAGATTCCCATGTGAAGGAATTCATCCCAGAAGAAGAAGAAGTGGAGGCTGCAGAGGAGAGATGAGGACAGGTCAGGGTGGAACCTCAACTTCAGCTGATGGATCCTGAGGGGAAAGTGGACTTGCTCGCTTATCAGATCCAGATCCTGCCACTCCGTTCCCTCCTCCTCCTCCTCCTCCTCCGTCGTCGACTCAATCTCTCTGACTGTCTCTCTCTCTCTTTTCTTTTGCAGAACTCCCCTCTTTTCCAGTACCTGCACGATCTAGGGCACACAGACTTTGAGGCATGCCCAACGGCGTCACAGGAGGAGGACTATGGCGGGCTCACTTCTCCCGACGAAGATCCACGGAAAACTTCAGTGAGTTTGAGACCAGTATCGCACACGTCTGTTCTTACGTGAAGAAAATGTTTAATTTCTTCGTCGATTTGATGAAAAATTAAATGTTTTAGCCAGGTGAAACGCATAAATCGTGTTAAAATACGTGTAAAACAGACTCAAACAAACTCGGTGACATTGAATAATAATCATATTAGAGCTCCAACTGATGATTGATTTCATTATCGTTTGTATCAATTGACAATAAAGAGAATTATATATTATTTTTTCACTTAAACGACTAGTTGTTTTGTCCATAAAATGAAAAATCACAATTTCCCAGAGGCTAAGGTGACCAAAATCTAAAATTATTATATATATATGTATATTTACTCTTGTGGAAGACTAATAAAACAAGCAGATATTCACTTTCAAGAAGTTCAAACTAATAAATGTAATAATTCATTGATTTTGATCATCTATTTAAGCCATTTTTGAAGCAAAACTGCCAAAACTTCTCTTGTTGCAGGTTCTGTAATGTGAGAATTTCCTGGTTGCTTCTGTTTCATTTCATCGTAACGGCCTGAACTCTGGGAAATGTGATGGGCATTTACTACTATTTACTATTCTGACTTTTTATTGACCAAACGATAACGAAAATAAGTGCTTGCCACAGCGCTACATTCATCAAATTTCAGCTGTAGATCGTAAAAATACAACAAATAAAGACTCCCATCAGGTCAAACAATCTGACCTGGGGCTGTGTGTGCGTGTGTGTGTGTGTGTGTGTGTCACTGTTTGACTTCTGCAGTCAGACAGAAAGTAATTAATTTGACTATTGATTCCAAAACAGTGACACATTTCGGCACGCAATCAGCCACAGACTTTGTTGTTCATGTGCTTCGCTTCAATCAGACGAGACATGGCACTGAGGGCTTCGTACGCACGGATGCAGGTATTTTGTGTTGCACGTTCTTTACTCTGTAATCGTAGAGAGACAACATCTCCCTCTCTTCCGTCTCTCTCCTGCTGTTGTCCTGATTTTTAGAAGAGATAGCCCGAATGCGATTACTGCGACCGTACTCTGCTTTCTCTCTGCCTCTGCGAGTGTCCTCTTACAGATTGAACGGGATCTGCGCGCACGTCGTCTCTGCAGTCAAAGAAAGTCTTGAAGTTTGAATAGCACTTGCGTTAAAGGGGAAAGAAAGTGTCCCTCCCCCACTGGGGAAAAAACGCAAACCATTTCTACTCCACAGTAGATCAACACACGTTATTCTTCCTCCAAGCTTCT